TATCTGTATTGCAAACTATCATGTCCAGACACACACACACAGAGAGAGAGAGAGAGAGAGAGAGAGAGAGAGAGAGAGAGAGAAAGTGCTTGTCAAAGAGGCAAGCGGGAAGTAGTGGAGAGGGAAACTGCGGACATTGGTGGTGAGAAAGATACACTGGTGAAGTGATGAGTGTTGGAACACATATAACTGAAACCAAACTATGAACAACCTTGTAATTGTAAACCTCACTGTGAGATTTACAATTTTTACAACTGAATTGAAAAAAATTTAGAAAAACACTCTGATATAGAAGACACTAATTTAAAAACTGGCATAAAAATGCTACCAAATTGGAACAGTTGAGCGAAAGAAGCTATAGTATTTCTGTCTATTTATAACACTATACTCATTGGGAAATAGCAAAATCAACTTACAAGTCTGACACACACATAATGGAATATGATGCGTGAGTTTAAACTTGAATTGTGAAGACAATCCAGAAACTATAAGTTGATATAAAAGTCAGAGGGAAAAAAGGCTAGAGGAAAAAACTGTATAGTCTCAGATCAGACATATAGCTCAGGAGTATAACACATGCCTCAAATATGTAAGGTCCTGGGTTTGAGACCTGGCATTGCAAGAAAAAAATAAGTACATTCTTAAGTCTTCCAATTATGTACAGGCAATAACACTGTCTGTAGCACTTTCCTCCCGTTGTTCATTGATTTGCTCGAGCAGACACCAGTAATGACTCCATTGTGAGACTTGTTACTGTTTTGGCATATCAAATATGCCATGGGGAGCTTGCCAGGCTCTGCCGTGAAGGTGGGATACTCTTGGTAGCTTGCCGGGTTGTTCGAGAGGGATGGAGGAATCAAACCTGGGTCAGCCGTGTGCAAGGGCAAACACCCTACCCGCTGTGTTATTGCTCCAGCCCATACTCTATGCAATTGCTGCTTGTCAAAAGTGGTTAAATTGTGGCAACTGTCTATGATTCTGTTAGGGTATATTTATAAGGAAAGAACTTGTGGGCATGGGTTGTGTTTTTTGGACTCAAAATTTTTCATCTTAGATAGCATTATTTTTACAACAAATGCATCATACTGACATGAGGTTTCTGTGTCATAAATCCACAGTTTAATGAGAACGTTTAAAGTAAGAGTGATCATAAAGGAAGAAAAAAGTCTGTTTCTGAAATTCTCTCAAATTCTGCTCTTTATATTCTGGAGAAAGTTATATGCTCATTGGATTCCATGACAAGGATAATTTTAGTGGTTTTTATGGTTCACATCTGAAATTGATTACTTGAAAAGATGTAGTTTACTACTATAGCCTATGGAGAAACTTAAAAATCACTTAAATTTAAATTAATGTATTGAGTAACTTAAATAATTAAAGTAATATGAAAAAAGAAAAGTGCCCAGGGTAGCAGGCTAAGGCATGCTTATGGTAAAATTTTCCATCCCAAATAAGCATCAACAAGGCTATGAAAGGTCTTAATTTCCTTATAAACATAGTTCCTGTTCCAAATTATCCCATCTGTGTGCACCAAACCTTGTCTGACAGAGCAGTTTTAGAAGCCAGAAGGTACAATAGTGGCCATTCAGATTTTGGCAGGTGGATTTCAAGCTGAAAACCAAGTTCCACAAAAAATAACAGTCTGATCTACAGGTGTGAACATTTCTGACAAGAAGCCTCAAAATCTCCTCCAAGCTGTGAAATTTAATTGTCCTTTTGGTATTTACCTATATGTGCCTACGACCCATATGTTCTTGCTCTCAGTGGAACAAAAGAGAATCTTCCAGCCCTGAAGAGTCAGGGAGATACTTAGACAAGCTTTTAAGATTTGTCTATAACATCTTCTGGGGCTGTTTCTTGCATTATATACTTTGGAGGTGGTGCCAAGTTCAATTAACTACAGGTAAGCAGCTCTTAAATCTGGAAAAATATTCAATGAAAGAGCTTTATACCCAGATGACATGAGCAGAGGCAATCAAAATTGCACTGGCCAGCATTCTGAAACTCTCAGGTCCATTAAAGTGGTCCTGATTTCATAAACCTGATGGATCTCATGCATAGAACCTGTTTTTTACTACCAAATTTATTAGAATGGAGGATTAGGAAGATCTGGATCTAGATGTGGTAACAAGTGACACAGCTGTCTTATCTAATCCAAATGATGAAACTGGATGGGGAGGTTAGGGAATCGTTGAAGCTGGCAGTTGGTCGGACTTTGGATTTTCCAGTGCCAAAATTGAAAAAGCAGACTGGAGGTGTTCTCATTAGGGGGTCCACAGATTTAAAAAAAATAAGTATCATGTGTGTTAAATGTGAGTCAATGATTCTAACTTGTTTCAATATTAGAGCAAATATATTTCTCTTTTCTCTATGTGTAGATACGCTTCGAAATTTTTTTAAAAGTGTATAGCCACTAAAATTCTAATACTAGGGGCCCAAGAGATAGTACAGTAGGTACGGCACTTGCTTTTCATGTCGTTGACCTGGATTCAATCTCCAGCACCACATATGGTCTCCTGAGCATTGCCAAGAATGATTCCTGAGCACAGAGCCAGGAATAATCCTTGAGAACCCTAGGTATGGCCTCCACATTAAAATAAATAAATAAATACATAAATAAAGTGATATTACCCATTCAATGAAGGTAAACGTGAAATGAAAGATTACCAACATAGTAAAAATTACATAGAGCACCCAAAAGTGCCCTCTTCATAGCACAAGAGAAACTAAGATAGATTCTTTGAGAAATCAAATCTCCAGTGACCACTTGGGAAGGTATAAAGTGGCTTCTTTATAAGGGTTTTTCTAGCCTCTTCTACAGTTAACTTTGAGTGGCCTAATACTGAAGGCCACTAAGCTTTTTGTTTCCAGGGAAAAAAATTTAAGATTCAGAAAGAAAAGGTTTAGAAACTGACTGGAGGAGATGAATAATTATTAAAAAATCATGACCTATTGCTCATAAAACTTATTTATATTTAGGAGTGTTTCAAATTTTTCAATTTTTTTTTCTTTTTGGGTTACACCTTGCGAATGCACCAGAGTTACTTCTGGTTCATAAACTCAGGAATTACTCCTGGCGGTGCTCGGGGGACCATATGGGATGCTGGGAATCGAACCTAGGTTGGCTGCACTCAAGGCAAATGCCCTACCTGCTGTGCTATTTCTCCAGCCCCTCAAATTTTTCAAATATTTTGAAATATTTTCCACCTTTAGTTTGGCATTAAAAGTAAAGATAGGGCAGGGAAGATAGCTCAAAGGACTAGAGTGCATGCTCTTCATGCAGGCGTTTTGGGTTCAATTTCCAGTACTGCACTCTTGGTTCCCTGTGTACCTTGCCAGCAGTAGTCACATGGTATGTCCCCAAACAAACAAAAAACAAAGAACATGCATAGGACATTAAATGTCAACTTTTCTATTCTTACTATTTTTAGTTTGAGGATATCCAGCATCCAATATAAAGTAACTGGGGATACCCAGTAATTGGGGATACTTAGTCATTTATTACTGAGTGACTCAGACCATCTACAAAACCCAAGAAATATAGAAAAACTGATGATACCCATACTTAATGACAAACAACTAACCCCAGTCTCCAAAAAGCTTTCCCATTTCTCTTCTTCACATGCCATTTGTTATAGGAAGATGTAGCATTTAATTCTTAGAGAAACAGGACAAACTAATCCTCAAAAGACAAACCTGAAATTCAGGGCAGGCTTGTGAAAGATTTTGTTTTGTTTGTGTAAGATTTGTAAACTTCTTGGTAATTAGAGAACGTATTAAAACCCAACTGGGTCCATACAAGGCCTTGAAAGAAAATCTAGGAAAGGAAAAACTGAAAGCAAAGGGAACATTCCAGTTTCCAATGCAATCATTTTTTGGTTTTTGTTTTTGTCTTTTACTTTTTTTTTAAGGTCGCACCCAGCGATGCCCAGGGGTTACTCCTAGCTCTACACTCAGGAATTACTCTTGGTGGTGATTGGGGGACCATATAGGGTGCTGGGAATCAAACCTGGGTCGGCCACTTACAAGGCAAAGGTCCTACCTGCTGTGTTCTCACTCCAGCCCCAGTGCATTTATTTTGATTGGGGAGGGAAAGGAACAACCTTCAAAGTTAACATTTGAGGAAAGACCCACAAAGGAGCAAACTCAGATGACTCAAAATCCCAAAGAATATGTCTGGAGTTAGAGACATAACTCAAAGAACTGAGGTATGCTCTGCATGTAGGAGACCCCTGAGTACCACCAGGACTGAACCCTGAGCACTGGTTCAGGAGTAGTTCCCAGAGCACAAGTCAAAACCAAACCAAACTATTTCACAATTAAGATTACATTGCTGAGTCTGGGATGCCACAACCATCCCTGACGCCACAATACAATTAGCACTAATATTTGACCATGAAGGTAAGATGCCCACCAAACAGGTGATCTCTCTACGGTTCCACTCCTGAGATAAAAAATAACTGGCTGCAGCATCGTGGCTTGCCATTCAACCACTGGCCAAATTCTTCTGAGCATTCGGATAGCTTAATGTAAATTCATGAAGTTATATGATGCTTCAGAATGTCACTTCTTCCATCTTAAAGATCAATTTTATCAAATGGCTTTGCTGCACTTTAAGCTCCTTTTCATTCTCTTAGTGGAGAAGGATGAGATTGCTACAGAAAGTGGTAGGGCTGTAGATGCTTCAGTTTTTCCAAGATCTTACAATTTCCTTCCTATGAAATTTTCTCCTCTTTTTTTTTTTTTCTTTTTAGGTCACACCCAGGATTGCATTGCACAGTGTTACCCCTGGTTCCACACTCAGGAATTACTCCTGGCAGTGCTCAGGGGATCATACAGAATGCTGGGAATCGAACCCGGGTCGGCCAGGTGCAAGGCAAACACCCTACCCGCTGTGCTATCGCTCCAGCCCCGAAATGTTCTCCTCTTAAGTGATGGGAAAAGTTCAGGTAAAACTGTGTCATTAATCAAGAGATTAATTTCCTATGTGATATTAGTACCTTGGAAGATTTTCTGCAATTATTCTGTTTGGGAGATCCTGCATGTCATTTGGCAGTCGCCTTCAGATGATGGTGGGTGGCTGTCAGCACCTACAATTGGGAAAGCAAAAGTGCTGTCAGGTACATTTTATCACCCATATCTTTCGTCTTTTGCTGTTGCATTTTCACAGCTTCAAAGGAAGACGGCATTAAGAATAATATCCTCCAAATTTTATCTACACTGATTTTCTTACAACTGTTTGCAAGTAACTTTGAAGACTGATGGGTAATCGGCCCCTTTGTAGAAATTTTCACTTGTCTCTTCATCAAGGGAAAGGCTTTTCATTAGCTTCGTTCCATATTATTCTTTGACTGGATTTCATAAAACCAATAAAGAGTTCCATTGTAGAAGTTTACAAAGTGCTCTAAGATTACAAGTTGAACGATATTGAACTCAGACTATAAGGCCCTTTAAAGGGAAATGTGCTGAATCATAAAATCTAAAGTTGCTATAAGCTATTATTTTAATGGATAACAACATAAACACAAGTGGTTAAATATTTTTGTTCCACATTTATGACAGTTGAAAACTGTAGTAGCTAACTAAAATCAACTTAGATAAATAGAAGGAAACACTAATTTTAATGCATTAAATATTTGATGTAGCAATCTTACTGCCATAAATAACACATTTTAGCATATGCATATACAGATTATGTATAAATATGCATATAGTGGAAGACTGGAGAGTACAGCAAGTAAGACTCTTATGTTGCATGCAGCCCACCTGGTTCGATCTCTGAAATCACACATGCTCCCCACTAGGAGTGATCCCTGAACAAAGCCAGGAATAAGGCCTAAACACCGCTGAGTGTGGTCCCAAACAAACAAAACAAAAACACTAAGTATGTATATCATGTAAGACAGAGAAGAAATAAAAGATATAATACGTGTTTACAAGATAGATAAGATAGGATAAGAAAGTGACACAATGTAACACTGTCCTCGCATTGTTCATCGATTTACTTGAGCGGGCACCAGCAACATCTCCATTGTGAGACTTGCTGTTACTGTTTTTGGCATATCAGATACACCATGGGGAGCTTGCTAGGCTCTGCCCTGTGGGCGGGATACTCTCGGTAGCTTGCTGGGCTCTCCGAGAGGAACAGAGGAAACAAACCCGGGTCGGCCACGTACAAGGCAAACGCCTTACTTGCTGTGCTACAGCTCCAGCCCAATAGCTCAGTTGGTAAAGCATCAGACACAATGTAATAACTTAAAATTGTCATTACAATAAATAGTAAAAATGTCACTATATTGAAAAAATTCTTGCCCATAAAATATTAAAAGGCTACATTTGGAATTTTCTTACCTCTTCACTGACAACAGAATTTTAAGTTGTAAACAAAGGAAAATCTCAGAGGTAAAAGGCAAAGCTGATTTTTTTTTATTTTATTGAATAACCGTGAGATAGTTACAAGCTTTCATGTACGGGTTACAATCACACAATGATCGAACACCCATCCCTCCACCAGTGCACTTTCCCCACCACCAATATCCCTGTTATCCCCCCCCTTTCCCACCCTCCCCCTGCCTCCATGGCAGACATGATTCCCCATAATCTCTCTCTACTTTTGGGCATTATGGTTTGCAAAGCTGATCTTTTAAAATACAGTAGCCTATTTCTACTCTGAACTGGCCCTAGAAGTTCAAGATAAATGTGTGCAATTCTCTATCCTTCCTTTTGTTCTGGAATCTCCCTTCTCATAGCAAGATTGCTCCGTTGGGCCTCTCAGAAGCTGGCCTATGGCTGAGGCAGGTTCCCTGCCTCCCCCACTACCTTATCTCTGTTCTTTCCATTCTGACAGCTGGTCGACTCCACCCAATACACCACCCTCAGTCATCAGGGCCACACCCAGCCCAGCTGACCTTCAGACCACGCCCAGAACATCCTGGGAGTTGTACATTCGACTTCCACGTTTCCAACACTTACAAACATCTCCCAGTTTAAAAAAAAAGTCTGATATGACACTTGGCATGCACTACACACCAACACCAGGACCTGTTTTCACTAACCGAAAGATTTAAAGGGACTATGCACAAGCAAATAGAGATCAACATGTTTTGCAGCAGCTGTTCAGGACGCAGGGTCGCAGGCAAGCAGAAGTGGTTCCTTCCCTGGGAACTACTTTATATAGGTTTTGTGTCCCATCATTCTTGCTTTTACTACCTATTAGTCTTAATCTAAGTTTTACATGTTATACATATGCTTTGGTTGGTTGTTTGGGGGCCCTGGGAATGCTGCACAATTTTTTTTTAATATAAATCAATGGCCATTGCTTCTTTCTTTTATATCATTTTGGCTTGCGAATGATTTCATAGGCATCCCTACTTTCAGAGACTGCAGAGAATCCTGCATGCGGGATTACTTAACCTGAGAGAATGCACTCATGAGTCTCAGTTTCTCCATTCATAAAATAAAAGGATAATGTTGGAAGACTTCCCAAATACTTTACTGTTCTATAAAACATGGGCACATATGCCCATTAATTTGACATTCACATTCACAAATAAGTATGGGCGTGTGCCAAAATTTCACCTGCTGATAATATGTCGGGGAGTTAAGCTTGAGAATTTAAGAGCTGTACTTTAAAAGTTTGGTTTGGCTTCTCTCTCTACATTCGTGTGTTATTGCACTTAGCACTTACTTATAAATCCATGCTATAAAGCAAGTAAGACTGAACTTAACTCTCTTGGCTTTCTCAATTGTTCAGAAACTGAGTTGTATTTCCTGGCTCTCAAACTTTGTAAACTTGTCAGATTCTGCTTCAAAGAAGGACCATTTAAATAAGTCCTCAGTGGAAAACACTAGTGCCATTCATAGCTAGAAAAATGTTGAAGCAGTAACATATATTTTTAAACTGTGAATTGGAGGCATTTTTTCCTGTATAGCACACATACACACATTTATAAAAATGCATAAGGGAAAACAGTGTTTGTTTTCTTTTCTTTTCTTTTCTTTTTTTTGAGGCAATTGTTCATTAATTGTCTCCTCAAAGTGGCTTGTTGCAAATTGCATTCTGTCCTTGCTCCTCTCACCTTGGAAACAATCAGTTCTTAAGTGCTTTCCCTAAAGGATTGCTGGACAGTCCAACATGTACTCATTAGAAAAATTGTACTGAACCACACAAATCTTGCCATTGTGCCTGGCGCTCACATGTGGGACCATTACTTCATGCACAATGACATGGGACCTGAAAACATGTGAACAGGAAGCCAAACCCAAGTGAGAGTTGGGGCACTTCCAGCTTTCTGTGGTGCACAGCAATGAAGTCAAGTTCAGCAGTATTCCCGACTCAGGTGTCTGGGGGGAAGGTATCACAAGCTGCGCCCTCTCCATCCCGAACAAATCCTACTAGCTTGGGCAATATGCTGTTCGCAGTAAGTCATTCTGTCAGCAAACACAAAAGGATTGTGAGGGGTACAGGGCTTGCTTATGAACTAAGACTATAACTAGCTTGAATAACTTCGATATGGAATGGCTCACCCCACAGAAGGAGATCTGCAAACTCTCCAGACTTTAAATTATGCAAACGGGAATTTTCTCATCTATGTCTTACACCTTTCTTTGAATAATAAGCTGCCATGATGCAATTTCTCTTCTAAGTGTATATTTGGTGATTTTTTTTGTATAGTTCATTTTAGGGTGTCTTCATTTATTTTTTTAGCAGAAGCATTTAGTCAAAAAAAAAAAGAGGCATTACTTTCATCATTTCAAAGCCAATGATGGTTTCTGAAGTTTGGGTACTTCTGAATGAGCCATCTACTAGCCAGATGGAATTTAGATTATAACCAAATACTATCTTTCTATTTCGAAGTGGAAATGCCTTGAAGGGTTTTTAATATGTTGGTACCATTTACCTACTGAAGGAAATATTCTTGAAGTCTGGGGCTAAGCCTCTTTTGTAAATAAATGGTGGGGTATGAGCTCTGAAATCCAGGAAATCTGATAGAGGCTTTGCCATAAAAGCTTAAGAGCTAAGCAAAGGGTTAAAGGGTATAGGAAAACTAAGGTTATCAAGGAATCAGACCTCAAAGACTAAAAAGGTCACAGCTTTCTGTCAGTCTAAGCAGACTATTTTGGATTCATTCTAAATGTTAAAATTCTTAATTATCATCTTTTAAAAATTTGTAAATGCAGTCTGCCCCTCCTTTCCAATTACCCACCCTTTAAGCAAGTGTAGAACACCTGGGTCACCATGAAGGACAAAATGATTGTAGGCTAATGAAGGACCAAATGAGAAGTCATCTCCTTTGCCCTTAGAATCTTCTTTAGTCTAGCCTCTGAATGAGTCCCTCAGTTCAAAAAGAGTGAAAAATCCCTGGCAAGAAAAGGGCTGCTTCCTCATGAATAAGCATTCATTCTTTATGAATGTATATTTACGAATAAGTGTTCTTCTAACCACATATCTTTTTCATGGTTTCTGTTCCTTTCTGAAGACTCAGAGGAAGTACAAATGATTTGTTTTGAGAGTATACATAACTATTGGCCAGACTGCCCTAGACATGGCCTTCCTGTTGAGAAATTTAATGGGAAAATAATTCACTCAATAGCAGAGATACAGAATAAAACCCCAGATCCCAGTGAGTCTTATTATTGACATTCTAGGGGGGCATCAAACAGAACAGAACAAGCCCACTATTTATGATTCTCCCCAAAATTCCAAAGAAGTGGAACCATTTAGAATCTACACTTTTTATATACTTCATGTATCTTTTATACCTTAATATCTACTTTTCTGTACTTCATATTTATCAATTAACAACACAATTTTAATTGGTGCTCAGTGTTGAAGACTAATCTTTACTGGAAACTCCACCCTACATGACCCCCAGGAAATTTTTTTTCTATAAACAGTGTATCATTTGTTTTAATGGTATTCCTTTATTTTATGGTATTTCCTTTATTGGGTTACTGGGGTAAGTTCCACACTAATATTATAATCATTTTCTTTTGCTTCCTCCACCTCTTGTAGTCTCCAAGTTGAGAATGTTCTAAATTTAAATCTCCCCGAAAACTTGGCTCTAAAGTCTACCCATACTGTTTGGGG